TGACTTGTAAAATAAAATTTCATTTTGTTTGAGTGCAACACAATTAGTACGCAAAAGCAGTAAAATATATATATGCCTTCAGCCACAAGGCGACCAGTGCACATTTTCAAAGCTTATAATACTTTCTAATATATTTCCCTTTGCCTACGTCATTACTGACTTCCTTGTACCAGACATACCAAGCATGTCTCACCAGACAGCAGAAAGAACTTTTGTGACTCTCTGTTCTGTAGACCCCTTCCCCTCTATCATCCTCTAAACTAATATAAACAACGTATATAAATTAATAATATGGAAATGCACACCCGCATGCACATGCTTTTGTACGTGTGCACATGAGTCTACCCGGAAATACGCATACACAATAATGTAATCAGACACACAAACACATATATTAGCTTGCACTTCCCCCCACTCCAACCCCACTCCCAAAAACACACATACCCATGTACGTACATACACGCACACATGCACGCATGCACGCACGCACGCACACACACACACACACACACCAAATTGGATTTGAGTACTGGAAGAAAAAAAAAGGTGATAAAGTGAGACTATTCCATTGTGATCGTGGATAATTCTCAGTGTTTAAGTTAACTTTCAATCATCAAGCACATCTTTGCTGTCATATTTCAGAGAAGGGGTCCAAACTGTTGTGTAAGAAATCACTCTTTTATGGAGAAGGTTCACAGTTAACTTTTTGAACTAGGGCAATGACCTAACAAATAACACACACGCACACACACACTGATGTGGCCAGAGACAACCACTTCTCTGTAATTTAAGGCCAAATTAAGTAAAGCCAAGTAGAATGTGTGCTCATACTGACATTTAAAACTTGCAGGTTAATTTGACAATAAATGAGCACAGCCGCAGGTGCCAGCTATTTGTTGCATATGAATAAACAGGTACAGACTTACACCATCGATAGTGAGCCGGAAATTTATCACTGACGCTTCTGTTGCTTTTCATCTTTTTTTCCCCTCCTTACAACTGATGTCAATTTCGAGTTTTAGATTTTGTGTAATTTAATGATGTGCGGGGTTTAATCTTCACTGTTGCTATTGTTCCATTTTCTTTTTTTTCTCTCTCTGTTCAACTGTATTCAATTTAAATTTTCAGATTTTGTTTTTCGATAAAGCATGGATTTTATCATTGCTGTTTTTATAGTTGGCTAGGGTTTTTTCTCTCACGGAGTCAAGTCCTCTTTGTTTTATATTTTGAATTATAAAGAAGTTAAACATAAGATTAATTCCATTTTTAATTTATAATATGCGCTCTCACTTATTTCTGTCTTAACAACATATTTATACTTTAGAGTTACTAATGATTCTGCCATCTCACAAGCATAACTAATCCAATACAAAAGATATCTGAAAAACATTTTGTCCTTCAAATTCTATTTTATTCTCACAGCTTCCCCATTTGAAGACTTATGCGACGCTGTCAATCCACCAAAATAAACATAAACAACAAATAGGGTAAACAACTAATGGTCCCAAAATATCAGCAATGAACCATAGCACACTTTTCAGCCCAATTTTAACACTGATGTATGTTAAAGCCTCATCATGCTATGCCTAACAATGACGTAACATTAGGGTGCTGAGAGGTTACTGACGTATATCTTTAATCTAAAAGATAATAAACAACTAGTATAAATCAAAGAACACATTTGTCGGAAAGCAACATGGTCTAGCTTTCCTCCTGGGGCAGTGAAAATTGCGTCTAAAAGCCACGAGAGGAACCTTACTGCTACTATCGAGTTCAAACATGTCAAACTTGAATCAACTCTCCCAACTGAATTATTCGCTCTCTCTTTTTAAACTGATATATTATCATGGGCAACTTTCAGAAACAACAATAATTCATTCTCACCAATATAATAAATAAAAGCCAGTTGTAAATCACATGTTAAGTCTGGGATTTTTTTCTCAACTTCTAACTGCCACGTATATAATAGGCAGGAGTTAAATATCTACCTTGCTAGACTCGGGTAAAATAATGCATGGAAAATTGGAAAGGTGAAAAAAAAACACTGACATTTTGTTGCAAACAAAGTGCAACTCAAGTGCGTGTGCACTTACTAGGCTGAGGCCAAAATAAGACAATGAAGACAAAGGTTGTACAGAATTCAGAATACCTTCAAAGAGGTTATTTAGTATGAGTAAAAAATTGTTTGTGTAAGCCATAAGTCAAAACTGACCACACAACTGACCACATTCCTAAGAGGTAACACCTGTACTTCACCTGTAGCTGCTGCAGGTGAAGGATGTTTAAAAATGGACATCTACATGCAACTACTGGTCTCCTGCGCTTTTTTAAAAATAAATGACCCATCTCATAACCTGTTTCCTCCTCTTCTGAAGCAAATTAAAAAATACATGTAGGCACAGAATTGTAAAAATAAAACATGCAAGTAATGCAAGGGAATAATACAATAATTAACCAACACATTAATAAAACATCAGATTTCCAATGATGGATTCCCATTTAAAGAAAAAAGAAAGGAAATTTCTTCTGATGTATACCAGAACAAGTCCCAATAAGCAGATCACCCAAACCACAACAGGTCTCACTCATTTGATTCTCTGTGTATTATTGCTGAAAAACTAATGAAAAAAATCCCCAATCTCCCACTCTACCACAATGTCTCCCACATATAGATACCAAAATAGATCTCATAATTGCTCTCTCCATATCCAACCCGTATCCTTGGCCCACAAAGTGAATATCTCAAAAAAAAAAAAAAAAAAAAAGTCACTATCAATATTCATGTCCAAAACATTTCCTGCACCCACGCCTAAATTTAAAAAGCATGATAACCAACTTATGGTAGATCAACGTTATTTACAGTGTATTGTGCATATTTATGTCAATATAGTTGCAGTGACTTTGTTGACCATCTCATCCCCCCCCTCCCCCACACACACACACACGTCAATACCACCATATTGCTGAATCTCCCTTCTTTCCCACTTTCCCACAATTTCTTGTCCCCTCCCTTCTGTGGCCAGTATATGTTACAAACACATTTCTCAAGCGAATTGAAAGATCTCTTATTGACTTCTCAGGCGACATGTAATCATGTAGTGTGTGTGCATTCATGTAGTTTATGTTATTTATCTGTAGTGCATATATAAGCTGCCTACTTATCCCCCTTTCCATTGGCACCCTCTCCAGGACCAAGCACGGTTCAAAACCTGAATAGAATCATTTCCACATCTAAATAAATAAATAATTTAATAATTTAATGGATCAATTGTATGAATGAATGAGGTGATGATTGGATACTAATAAATAAAATATTCTTGACTTAAATATGACCTGCAGCTTTACAACAACTTGGAAAATCCTTGCTGGAGCCTGAAGCATTGATTCTACATGTGGATGCAATATAATGAGGTGCGTAGGCGTACAGTAGACTAAGCTAGCTGCTTGACGCGGCCTGATCAATGACTGATTACAACATCTGTGTGGGCTGCTACAGCACAGTGCCAGCCAATAGTCCAAGGTTACAACAATAACATTTAGGAAGTAGGCCTATAATTCATGTTAAAGACACAGTGAGAATTAAAGTGACATTTGTCAGGAAAAAAAGGGTTTAAAAATTGGGTTTATAATGGTGGTGAGAGGTGATATGGAAAATTGCAGATTCATTGATCCTCTGGTTGAACTCTTTCTTACATCATTTTTTGTGGCTGTTGCTCTTTATAGAAGGTCAAAGGTATAATCAGTTGGATGAACTGCTTAAATTAAATACATTTTTTTTTGTCAAAAAAGAGGGTTGCAGGGCTCTACTGCATTATGCTGAAACCATAGTGAGTAATTTCATACTTCACTTACTGCAAGAGTTGTGCAAAAATATACAGCAACTAAATGTGACTTTAAACTGTGATTTTTTTCCAATATGCAGCAAGTTGGTTATTTACTCTCCTACTGATATAATAATAGGAAAACAAGATCAAGTCTATGTATATGCATTATAACAAAATCACAATACAAATGAACTAGGCTATTACTTCTATTCTGAGTCATCCACAATATAAAAAATTACTAGACACCTTCAAGCATATGATTGGTTAAAAATATGGGAATCCATATGATGCAGGACCTTGTATTCATTGCATTCACTATCCCTTTTTAAAAATCCTAACCAAATAATTATATATAATGTATTAATTTTGTTCTGATAATAGCTAGGAGTATTCAACATTTCCAGACTTCTAAGTCCTTTCTGCACCAGTATTATATATCTTAGGACTGCAGTTGTACTGCCATGTTTTCAGAGGGTTCTACCATGTTATTACACTACAGGGGTCTTTACTCCCTTTCACACATTCTCCTGTTTAAGCAGAAGTCCAGAGTGAAGCAAGCGATCTCTGTTTAGGTGGCTCTCTTCTGTAATTATCATAGCCAGGATATTTAAATATCGGTAAAAGTTGCCAATTCCTCATAACACACCAATACAGTTCTATAGAAATAACAACAACATTCAATGCACAATATTGTCTTAAAAGTGTTTAAGCTTTTGGAGTACAGAGTGTTCCAAACTCATCTCATCTCAGGGCCACTACCCCTTAAATTAAGAGGGCAATATTTTCAAACAGCCCAGACATTGTGTTAGTTGTGATGTGTTTCAGTGAACACAATCTGTACAACCTGGTACATTCTCTTCAGCACACACACACAGATTTTTACCTGCAGCCTTACGAATAGCAAGGTGAAGCTGAATGTTCCTGATATCTTTAAAGCTGCTTAGCAAGTCATTTATCAATCCAGGGTGATTCATCTCAGTGAAGAAAAAGCTTTGTCCAATTTTTGTATATACCGTTAGATGTATTTGTGCAAATGTTACTACCCAATCAGGCACACACGCACGCACGCATGCATGCACGTGCACACACACACACACACACACACACACACACACACACACACACACACACACACAACACACACACACACACACCAGCTCCTACCTTTCTAAAGACCTCCAGTTGCTGGTCCAACAGGGTCTTCCACTCCTGTTTCTCACCAACAGAGAGTGCTCTCATACACAGACTGTCTGGCTCACCCTGATCCTCCTCCAGTAGCTTAAACACAAACTCTGCATCTGTAACATACAGCTGAAAGTAAGGGCTTGTCTATTGCCAAGTGAGCCTAATGTACCATATGACTATAAATAAACAAATAAATTGTCTTTGAATACATATTAAGGCATCTTTTGGAATCCATGAAGTGTATTTCCCATAACCAATCAAATCAAGTGTTTGTGCACAGCCCCCCCCCCCCCCCCTCACCAACTCCCCACAGGAACCAGATAAGTTATAGTTCATTCCACTTACTGTTCTTCCTGTTATAATCAATGTCAGTCACAGCCTTGAACAGAATGGGTTGTTCCACCACAATGAGACTTCCCTCTGGCTCAGGAACAGTTAACAATAACAGGTCTGAGAACAGCAAAGCATACAGCTGAAATAATACAAATACAGGTAAAAGTAGGTTTGAAAGTTAAAAAAAATCTTTTAGGCACTGAATTTTCATAGTTTCTTTAACAGGTGATTTTACCCCTCCCCCCCCCAAAAAAAAAAAAAAAAAAAAAAAAAATTGAACAAAATAACAAAATGAATAAATTATCTGCTGTACCTGTATCCATTTTCTTCCTTCTACCTTCAGTAACTGCCCAGTGTGGATGAGATGTCTCTTTGGATCATACAACTGGAAAACCTGGAACATGTGTATAAATATAGTATAAAGGATGAAGGGGAAAGTGGGACCTTTAATAATTTTACTTAAATATTAATTTTTCCTATAATACTAAGTATAAAAGCCTTATACTGTATAATAAGCTTTATACTTATCTCGATGTTTGTCTATGGTTTGGTGTCCTTTTTATGACCATCTTAGCAGGTGCATATGGGGCATGTGTGCACACACACATGAGAGAGAGAGAGAGAGAGAGAGAGAGAGAGAGAGAGAGAGAGAGAGAGAGAGATTGACTCACTGGAACATTCTGAGCAAAGCAAAGCCTATTCTGTATGTCCAGTACTTGCTGGTTTGTGATGACATTACTTCTGCTGCTGGTGGAGGAAGAATTGGGCGTGGAAGTAGCTGGCTGGTTGGAGTACTGTAGACTTGGTGCAGGAAGACTGCCACTGTAGATCCTGTTACAGCAACTCCTCAGTCCTGAAAAAGTGCCATCATTATTAAAGCACTCAAGAGAGCACAGACCCCTGCCAAGGTAACTTATATCTCATTATTATTAATTTATCAATAAACAGATTATGACTAAAATCTAAATTATTCTATAGTTTATTTCTGAACTCTCCTGTAAATTTCATTAAATCCGTCCATAACTTTGAACTGTTAACTAACAAACCAATAAAGGCAAAAACATAAACCTCCTTGGTAGAGGTAATAATCAGCAAAATATATGAACTTTAAACAATGATGAAATTGAGAGCACTTCTTGCAGAAAGTAGTGCCAACCAAATGCTTCCTTTCTTCTAAAGTCAGAAATCATCATTTAGAAGATAATATAAAAACCTATCTGGATGTAGAATGAAATCATTTCACATATACTACTTAAGAGTTCAAATGATCATTGCTTTTCATATTCTTCACTTGACATTTTACTGATAGGGCATTTATTAATACCTTCCACTGTTTTCTGCAGCTGTGCCTGGTCATGATGTTCTAGCGGTGTAAGACTAAGGATACTTTGAAGAAGTATCAACAACTGCCGCAGGTGCTATAATTAACAAGAACCAATCATAGACAGACCTTCAGATATGAAGAACAATCATGAAGCCTTAATTGTCTAGTCTATAAACTACTTTCTGTAGAAATCCATTAGCATGATGTACCAAGAAACCAATGTTAAAGAAATTTTAGTTTAAACAACAATTATATATGAAATATCTGATTGATAATAATAAAAAGCAGAACTGACTTACCTCTGGTGGATAGTGAAGGAATGACAAGAGATCAGGACCATCAATACTTTCTATCTGCTGCTTCTGAAAAAAAATGTCAATCAATATTTAACTCATTTGTAAGTTACTTGATTATATTCTGAGATAAATAAATAATCTTTACTGGTTCTGGCATAATTTTTACAAAAAGACTTTGACCTTGTAATTTTACATTTACACATGCTGCCTCATCTCCAATAGACGATGCAGAACATTGACTACTTTTGATATGCTTAAAGGTGAGATATTCTGCGAAAAATAATAAATGTACATGGAAAAAATATTCTTTTGAATTATTTTTCACATAATAAGTACCTGGATAAATTTGGCAAATTCTTGGTTTGCTGAAAGTTGTTTGAGCAACTGCACTGCATCAGGTAGACCTTTGCAGTAAGTTTCATAACTTTCACTTACAACTGAGATCTGAAAGGAAAAGAAAATTTAATGTTGTAGGATTGTGATATTGCACTATGGTTCTTTCTTTAGCACCCTGAGTTTCAGAGGGAGCTATGATCTCACCCACATAATGTATCAGCATGCCTTTGACAGAAGAAATTGAGGTAAGTTCCCAGTGACCTCACAGTTTCAGGGTGACCTTTTGCATTATACAATAACTCAGAAATCAGACATGATAATTTCATTTTTCATCATTAAAAAATTCTGTCAAACAAAACTTAATTCACCTTATCTAAACAAATTATTGTATCACTGCACTGAAATAATAAAATATTGTCAAGAGAAAGGACATCTTTAAGAGAATAATATACCTTATTGTGATAAATTGAGCCCACTGCATCTATGTACCCCTGGGTTTTAAACTGTTCCCCAGGGTAAGAGACCTGATGGCTGTGGAGCTGATTGACTAGGTATTGAGATATGGCAACAATCTGGAGAGAGAACAGTTGACAGCAAGGTTAGGAACTGGAAATTCATGTATTTGAAATAACATCTGACCACACACACACACACACACACACAGAGAGAGAGAGAGAGAGAGAGAGAGAGAGAGAGAGAGAGAGAGCATATAACTATGGTGGTATTTGACAGTAAATAAAGCCCACATTCATTTATTCATACTCCATTTTTAAAATTAACACACTACATTCCTAAAGCGGACCAGTATTACTTAACAAATAGTTTTACAAAACTATTTTTAGTCCATTTTAAAAAATGTGCGTAAGTGTATGAAAACAGTATGTCAAATTAAAAGTTACACAGTTATAATAATTATTTTAAAAATACACATTTTTTGACCTGCACAACTGACGTTAACAACATACTTTTTCCACATTCTGGAACATAGTGGAATGCTGTAGTTGTGTCATGTTCTGATGGCGCAATGGTCGTGAGTAGCGCTGCACACCTGCATGCATGCTGTTCGTAAAAATTTCTTCACATGCAATAAGCTTCTGAATGGCCTGCTGGCGCTTTTGATCACTGGCGCTGAGATCCTGAAAGTAAGTAAATAAACGAATTTAATTTTATAATAAATAAACTAAAAATCTGACAAAAAGTGCTGATGGTGGTTTCAACCCAAATAAATTTATTTAATTATAAAAATTGAAAAGTTATTATTTGCTTGACAAGGACTAAATCCTTAAAAAACAAGGGAATAGAACCTTTCATTCTTTGTGCATTAAACTTGGTGAAAATTTATAGCCGTCTTAATTTGCTAAGAAAAAAATACTAGGAAGAAATGGCTCAGTGGGCTTACAACTAGTGTTTGGTCAGAAAACTGCTGCAGAAAAATTCTCACATTTCTAATTTAAACCAAAAAAAAACCACATCTGTAAAAAAGACTATTGATTATTCATAACTGCTGGACTGATTGCTGGTCTATTACCTGGAAAGCCTGAGATAACTGAGGTAAAGCCATGGTGGTGCCCTGGGAGTGGCGCTGAGGAGCAGACACATCTATAGCATTCTCTTTACACTGCTCTTCCTGAAACCCCAGGAAGTCATAATAAACTTTGAAACCTTGCTCAGTTTTAGTCTTGTTGTTACTGGGACCACTACTCCCATTCCTGAGTATCCCTCCTGGTTTTGCTTGATTAGTGTGGTCTGCCTCGTTGCTACCATTGTTCTTTAGTATCCCTCCTGGTTTTGTCTGGTTGGTTGTTTGGCCATTTTCTAACTCTGCGTGGTTCCAAGTCACCCTTGGCTGTTCTTTGTTGGAAGGACCATTATTTGTAGGCTTGTGATTTTCTGTATAATTGCCCTGAATTTTGCGTGACATTCCCATTTCCTGTGATGGAGATTCATTGGGAGGCACAGGGAACTGGGATGGAACAGGTTTGTATTCCTGATGTTTTTTGTGCATTGGCACCTGTTCTTTGTTGGACGGAAATCCATGTAATTCGTAAATCACTCCATATCCCTGTGGAATATTTGAGTTTTGAATGCCATGTTGGGAAGTTGTCTGCTGATGCTGTGGATGATTATGATGATTGTTTTGGGAATGTGAATGAGCTTTCTGCCACCCTTGTGGATCCTGATCATTGTGAACACCTTGGGAAACAAGCTGCTGCTCATGCAGGGAATGTCGTTGAGATTTTTGTCGACCCTGTACATCCTGAGAATTCCTTTTGGAAGGAGACCTTTGGGAATTTGACCTACGTAATCCATCCCTTCGTCCCTGAACATCTTTCTCGTTGGCTTCTCTCATGCTCACTCCTCTGATGACTTGCCTAGAAATCTGCCTACTCTCACCACTTGATTTCTTACAGTCTGCCCCATCGCTGACATTGTCCACAGACAACTGTCTTTCAATTGGATCATCCTGCTCGGGAGACTGTCCATTCCTGTCCTTCCTCACACCAAACTTTCTTGGGGAACTGGTCAGTGTTGGGACTCTCCTTGGTCGCTGGACGTCCACTATGATTTGATTGCTGGAGTGCCTAGAAATTGGAATGATTACAGGTCAGCGGGGTTAGATATAAGTACATGCACTGTACATACCCTAGGTTCTAGATTTTGGAACTGCCAGCTCGATCTTGATTTCATATATAAGCCACATCAGCAATACTGACTCTAGCTGTAAAACTAACACATGGAAAGGTATAGTGAGCAAGTTAGCTATATAGTACCCTGACACTCAGAGCAGCTGTACAGGACCACTTTCTGGATCATATAAATTAATCAATTATTCAATAAATAAATAAATAAGTAAAGACAATCCCCACTTACCTGACCAACCTGACGACACTCTCTGCAGTGGACCTGGACACATTTTGACTGTTTATTTGCACTATGTAGTCACCTGTCCTTAAACCTGATGACCATGCTTCAGAGGCTACAAATCAAATGTTGTACACCTTAATATAGCTTCAGCATTAACCAAACAACATTTGGAGATAGAAAACTTTAACATTGTTATGCAGGCATTTACCTAAGTTTGTATATATCAAAACAAAATAATAAAATTTTGCAGTTTTACACTTAACAGGAAGTGATCTATTTTAGGAAATTACTCAAGGGATTTGTGTAAAATACATAAAAATGACATTAGATAATTGTATAAGACATTAATGAATGCCTCATAATTAAAAGCATTACTTGACATATCCCAAACCAAGTGAGAGCAGGATATTATATGATATTATGTGAGAACTAGAGATAATGCAGCTCTGTCATTGCTTTAGATGTGACAGTGGGTGAGACTGAGCACAATGCAACTTACATTGCTCTACTCTGCCGACTCTTACTGGACATGATCCAACCACTGTGAAGCCAAACCCTCTCTCACCACGCCTCAAACACACCTGATATTGAGAGGGAAATAAATAAATAAATAAATAAATAAATAAATAAATAAATAAATAAATACCATTAAGATAATACAACACTTAACAGTGACAACAGATTACGGAAAACAGAAATGAACAAATATATAGCACATTAAACTGATGAATGAGGCATAAAATGATATTGATATTACAGAAAATACAGAAATAATATAAAAAACAGGATACAGCTTCTAACAAATTTTTCATATGTAGCCCAAAATGTAATCAATTAAATTATTTCACTAAATCTACAATTGTTTTAACAATTTTAAAAAACTTATCACTATATTGATAAGGTATAAAACCATAATTAATTTGCTGAACTAGCCTTTAATAGCCTTCAATAGCTAATGAAACCTCATTTGAATGTTTGTTGGGTAAATCACAAGTTCGGTTGCACAGGTCAATAGCTGACTTTGGAGAGGGGGGGGGGGGGGGGGTAAATTTCTGAGGTACCCCTTTGTCCCTCCAAAAGTGTAAGTATGAAACCAAACCAAGCCATTTTTTCTATCTCTGTGCTCTACATGTCAGGGCAAAATTGTCCTTGACTACTGATTTATGTTTCATCTCTTCACTTGCCAAATTTTTTTATCCTTCCCCCCCCTCCCCACCCCCATATCCCACCCTGAAAACAAAATCCAGAGATGAGTTGATTAAAAGTTTTCTACTTACTGTCAGTGACTCCATCCACAGCACATCTGAGTGCACTTTTGGTATGTGCTGATAGGCTGAAAGTAAAATGGACATGGTTTTTATGACGCAACAAGAAAAAATTTAATGAATAATTAAATCATGTAAGTTTTAGGAGGACATCAGTCTTGAAAACTGGAAATGTTTGAATAATTGAAGTAGAAGTAATGTCACACTATCTGATGTGTTTCAATACTTTCAAAATGAAATCTCAAAACAATTACACACAGCATGAATCAAATTTATGTACAAATAGGTGCTTACTCTGCTTGATACAAAAATGCGATTTTGCCGTAAGCAAACCCTAAAGCCGGCACATGACTGAACATGCTTCAGGTACAATATGGCCGTAAAGAAAGCATGCCTACGTCTGAACAGGTGAATCCCCAAGCTGCATGACTCATTCAACCTATTCTGTATGCTTTTAATTCATATTACTGACATGAAAATTCTCTTCAATCTAAACGGAAGAAATATACACCACTATATCAATCTTGTTCACAGATCAAAAATTTCTCCCACAAACTTGAGAAGGAAAGCTTTTATAATTCTTTTGTTAGTATTTCATCAAAAAATCAAAATTATGCATGTGGGGAGAACATAAGATAATTGAAATTGACCTCGTGTCACTAACCTTTTGTTTGCACTTTGCAAATGCCGGGAGTAAATTTGAGATGTTTTTGTCGTCCTATCTCTTCAGATAACAAGAAGTACCAGCCCCCGATTTCCTTCAGTGACAAAAAGGAGCAAATATTTAAGAAAAAAATTATTGTCAAAGTATGCTAACAAATTTTTATAGACAATTCAAGGCAAATTAATTGTCACCATGAAAGCTGTAACAAATGCCTCTATTTCTTGTGTTAATTGTAATATTTACATCTGGACTAAATTTCTCATGAGAAAAATCGCCATCTACTAGTCTTTTATATTCAGATAAATATAATACAATATGACTGTCAGAACATAAAGTGAAAGAATATCCTTTTAATTACTTGTACTGTACATCAGTTTTCTACCTGTCAACATGTGACAGAAAAAAGTCTACTTATAAACACCCTGTATATCTCATCTGCTTTATAAACGTATGCTTTGTATGTCCATATTGGCAAATCTATTGGGAAACCACTTGTGTTATGACTACAGTTTTGTTATACAGGGTGCTTAGAACAGACTATTAAACTTTTGTGAATTTACCTTCTTTGATTTGACCAACTTCTTGATCCCAAATGACATACATCCTAGCAGCTCACTGAAAACATATTACGGCAGGCTTTAACTACTGAAGTTATGGCAATTTAACACTTTCACAGACCATAAAACCCATCTGAAAGTCAAATTTTTCTCCCCTGGCCTCATTAAAGTCTTTTTTCTCTTGACATGCCGAACTATCATAAAACTTCCAAAATGGTTTTCTTTCATTAAAGGCCAATCACACAGTGCAGAAAATTGAAACAAGATCTGTAGCAATGGCACTTGTGGATCCAAGATTTTACTGGGGAGGTAGAGGGGACACACAAGGATTAACTATAAAATAGTAGAAAAGGGCAATTTTACTGTAATACGTGGGGCGAAGGGATGCAATAATTGCTTAGTATTGTCTTGCTTGGGCCATAGCAATAGTCCGGAGGTTTATTGGTCTGAATGTTCACTATATAGAACCTTCAGAACAATGAACCCTTGATTGAAAAAACAATGAAAATGTTACCATTTTTCAGACCAATGAACCTTCAGACCAATGATCGAGATGCTCCCGTCTGGCTTTACTTGATATATGTCAACTTAAAGCCCCTATTTCACACAGACCACGAATCCCACGAATGGCCATGAATTGACAAATTTCACGATTCGTGGTTGAATCGTAATCAGTTCGTGAAGTTCTTAACAGATTCGTATATATTCGTAGACAGTTCTTGCACTTCTTGACCAACAGGAATTGGTGGCAAAAACTTCGATGCCCCTATTTCACACAGACCACGAATCCCACGAATTGCCAGGAATTGAAAATTTCAGGGTTCGTGGTTGAATCTAAATCAGTTCGTGAAGTTCTTAACAGATTCGTATATAATCGTAGTCAGTTCTTGCAATTCTTGATCAATCGGGAATTCGTGGCAAAAATTTTGAGCTGTTCAAAGTTTTGGCCACGAACTCCCGATTCCAAAAAATCGTAGTGAATTTCTGGTCAATATTTGTGCGATTCCAGCCGAATCTTACGAATATTCGTAACACTATCGTACCTGTATCGTAACTGAATCGTGAGCGTGTCGAATTAGACCAGAAAAATGGCAAAATCCCACGAATCCTCACGAATCCTAAAATTTGTCAATTCCTGGCAATTAGTGGGATTCGTGGTCTGTGTGAAATAGGGGCCTTAGGGAAGGGAATGGGAGGGGGGGCTTCAAAGCAACGGAAGGGTTGCCCACTGTATACTAGTTTTTAGGAGGGATATGGGGGGTTAACGAGGCTAAGGGGGGGGGGGGGCACACACCAGTGTCCTCCCCTGGCTATACCACTGAATGAGCAGGTCACTTCAATCCCTGTGCTCAGGTAGCCTAGTGCTGAGCTGACAACCATCAGATCATCAGTTAACTAGAATTGATATAATTTGTCATCAAAAAGAAAACAGAAGGGCCAATTTATCCTTGATCATTTTTCTTCATAATAACTTACCTTTCAGTTTTTCTTCTGTGCCATACAGATAATATCAGTCTCTTGTCTTGATCTTCTGGTAATATCTCACTGGAATGAATTATAAGGTATTATGTAAATAAATTAGAAATCATATCCATGTCTTCTAAAAAATTCTCAAAACACAATAGCCAAAAACTCTCTTTTACCAAAGGAACAATCAAGAAACCCTTCCTGGATGTCAAGAACAAAAGAGCCCGTAAGGGTCCACCTCACATACACCTCAGTGACTAGTAGCATATCTGTTTAAAATACAGCTGTTTCAATTGGATAACTTGAACAATTTCCTTTATGATATACTAGTGCTAATAGCAGAACTATGAATTTCAATGGTGTCATCTCTATAGTGTATTTCATGAACAATACCAGCAATTTCAGTCATAATGCTTTTCTCAATAATATTGGATGAACCTCCATCCACAATAAAGGCCTCCCATCCATGTGGATAAGATACCTATTCTGTTTTGTTAAAAATACTTTCCCAAGTATTACATATTGGTCTACATACATTCACATTCCAGGATGACTGTAATACAGTAACCTAGTCCATCATCAGTTTTATTTTGACTAGGTTTATCATTGCTATGATCTATACACAAAACATTCTTTAGGAATGTCAGATACCAGAGATCATCTTGCTATAAAAATATATATCTTCCAGCAATGAGCATATCACAGCCTTGGGCATGTAGAGGCCTGTCACTGCTGGAGGCTCTTGTTACTAGCTGGTATGTGCGTCAGCCTTGGCCATATGCCACTTGGTGTGTGTCACCCGTGTGTGTGTGTGTGTGTGTGTGCTTGTGTGTGCTTGTGTGTGTGTTGGTGTGTGTGTGTGTGTTGGTGTGTGTGTGTGTGAGAGAGAGAGAGGAAGAGAGAGAGAGTCTGTTTTACATTTCCTGACCAACAAACAATATTTAACTTTCGAAACTGCATCCAACATATCAAACGCAAACACTTTACAGCCATATTTTTACAATACTAAACATTATAAGACAGGCATACAATATACATCACTGTACTTATCATTTGTACCCAGTTACAATAAACCGTACCATGTCTTCTTTTCCATATGTGAAAAAAAAAATCTTACCATTCAAATCAGGAAGTAAATCAAACTTGTAGTAATATGAAAACTATGCAGACTCCAGCTAGTCTTGAAGTTCATCCTACGCACGTGGAGCCCAACTGCTGACACAAGCATACAATTAAATGTCCATAAAAATTACTCCATATTTTGCTGATTACTATCAGATGGATAATAACCGGCTGCCGGGGATTGAAATGATCACTTACAATAGGTAGTTATGCCACAGGTATGCAGACAGAGAGAGATAGAGAGAGTAAGTTATCATTTCAATTATTACAGAGGAGATGGAAAGATAAAGAGACGCAGCAGTGAGCTTCATTCTGTAGGCTTTTTCATAACCCTTAACCTAACTCTCTTCCCCCCCCCCCCCCCCATCCCTACACCATTAGCAACAGGAAGACGTGTTTTATTTTCATGCCATTATCTTGTTTTTGACCTGCGATGTAAATAGGCCTAACACATCCTAATTGGTAGAAATACATATCCATTAATTTGTTTCATTTCATTTGTGTCACTGTATTTTTGGTGTGTTTTCTATATTTTTAAAAACCTTTTAAAAATCCCTTATAAAAGCCCCCATACCAATACTCTTTCTTCCCCCCATAACCAAAAGGGAGGCAAAGACAGCCATTTTCACATTCCTTACATGTAAAGATATAGATTATCTTTACATGTAAATTGAGCAGTAAGTTAGCAGCAACACATCTCATATGTGTTTCATTCTACTTCCTTGTGCCCCCCCCCCCC